CGTTTGTGTCTGTGCGTGTGCGTGTGCGTGTGTGTGTGTGTGTGTGTGTGTGTGTGTGTGTACACACACACACACACACACACACACACACACACACACACACACACACACACACACACACACACACACACTGTGTGTGTGTGTGTGTGTGTGTGTGTGTGTGTGTGTGTGTGTGCTCCGGCTATCTAGCTAGCTAGCTATCTAGCTAGCTAGCTAGATAAAGTACTTTAAAATTTCCATATGTAATATACATATATGTATATTTATATGATATGTTATTATCATTATTTTTACATTGGGAATGTGGTGACAAAGTGGGTAGCACATGTGCTTCACAGTTGGGAGGTGCTGTGCTCGATCGTTGACTTCGCCCTTCCTGTGTGAAGTTTGCTTGTTTGCGTTGGTTTTCTCAGGGTTCTTTGGCTTCTTTTCACATACCTAAAAAGCATGGATGGTCGATGAAATGAAGAATTTCAATTGCTCATAGAGGTCAAAGTGGTGACTGGTTGTTTGTCTATGTCACGGCCTCTTTGGATCATTCAGAGACAGGAACATACAAGGTCGAAAGGATGGCAGGGACAAGAAGGAGTGTGGTCAAATGCCACAATCTTTATTTTGCCCAACCAAGAATAAGTTTAAACAAACAAACAAAAAGGATTGGAAACTCAGACCAAAAGGAAAAAAAAAATGTGTGGCCAACACTGGACCAACCCAAATTGAAGGTTGTCCTATCCAGTGTTTTCCCCATCACCTTCGGAAAGGCAAAAATCTTGATTAACAAAGAACAAATGAATGGGGCTACTGGTGGTCACCAGCCCAAACTAAAACAATAAACTAAAACCAGAAAAGTTCCAGCATGATTGTCATGCATGGAACCGGGCAGCTGTGGAGAAAAGAGACGCGTTAGCCAACAAAAAAGATTGCCCTCGACATTACCTTTGTGTCATGTGTCGTGTCTTTGAAAGGTAAAGGCACTCCTCCACTAGCGGTGGGGCTGAATGTGTTGCGGCTTTTAAGCGTGTGTTGAGAAATCCAGGATAGAATTTCTGAGTCATGTACAGTGTACAGGTATCTGGAAATGACATCATTGAAACGTCACTATTCGTGTCGGCACAGTTAATGAACAAGGGAAATTCATGTGACTCACAGAAACACATCCAATCATTTTTGGAGTTATGACCTCTTTTTTTTTTTTTCCCTAAATCAAACACGTTTGATTTCGAGGGCCAGTGACACCTAACAGAACCCAATATTGGCAAACTGTATCAAAATTCAATTTAGAAAATAACTGACAATCCCTTTTCACTAAGGCAAAGGTGCATAAATCCAAGACAATACATCAAAAGCATGTATAAACACACCATCGCAGTCAATATCAATCTTTTGCAAAACACCAATTTAAACATAAATATAGCATGCCATTTGTCCATTTTGTACCACAGCATAAACCACAAATTATTCATAAACGGATGATCTAAATGAACCCCAGAAGACATAATTTTGGTGTTTTGATTTCAAATATTATTTTCAGGCGGACACTGTTGTAAGACTAAAAAAACAAAATAAACAATCACACAGTTCAAGTGGCAACCAAAGCTTTGACCACTGGGGTGGGGGCTGGGGGGCACATAAAGCCTCAGGAAGCGGAACCTTTTTGTGAACCAGTTGGATGGAAAACTTCAAGTAGTCAGAAGGATTCATTTGCCCATCACTAGCCTCCACATTCTCGCCACCCCTCTATATCTTCTCCACCTCAGTGCTCATTGTTACCGGGTGTGACACCAGGTTGGAAGAAGAAGCAGAACCTCTCAATGGTGGTCAGAGAAAGTGTAAGGAGACCATAATGGCTGCATGCAACAGTCTACATGTGTACTGTATGTGCTTGGCGCCGAATGCGAACTGTACCTTGCCTCTTGGGCAGCGTCAGCTGGGATAAGCTTCAGTCACCCCTGGCCCTAGTAAGGTCAAGAAATGTAGAAATTTGATGGATGGATGGACATAATATTTATTTTCAGCCCCCCCCCCCAAAAAAAAAATCCATGCATGAAAATAAATAAATAAAATACAATTTCTACATTCCTACATATCATCAGCAGCGGCTCCTCTTGTTGTATGTTGTGAGAGGGAAGAAATTTCAACTGTGCTGTATGTTGCACATACAGCACATTTGACAATAAAGTTGTACTTGAGACTTGATACTTGATATTGAATGTTTAAGGATGTGCTTGGAAACTCCAAAGGTTTCCAGGACCAGTTTCCTGAAAATAGGGATGTGAATAATTTTCAAAATTAAAAACAATGAAAAGAACTACGATAATATTTTTCATTTGTATCTCGAAAAGAATGTCCTCCAGCCATCAGCCATTCATTTAATGACGAGAAGATACTTTCAATAAATAATAGTTGAATGATTTTGTGATATGTGTCATAAAAGTAACAAAGTTGAATCGTGAGTTTCTCAATTTCGGTTCTACTCATAAAATAATGGAAACTAGGCCCCATGGTGGTTGACTGGTGAGCACATCCGCAACACTTAAGTAAGGATAAGCGGTTTGGAGAATGGTGGATGTCATCCTTGGTTTTCTGACCTGTTGGCAACCAGTTTCTAATGCACATCACAGTATTTTAACTTGGCTGTTTGGCCTTTTACATCATGTGACTTCATGATTACTCCTGCCATGAAATGTTGAGTGCCAAGGGTTTTATCTCTTGGCTTAGCAGTTGATCAGCGTATCCGAGTCTATAGAAGTAGCTTGGAGTTAAGTCCCATGACGGGACTTGCCCGTTAGCTTGCTGAGGTGCGGTCCTCCTCCTGCGCAAGATGATGCACCCCCGACTGCATTGCAATATATTTGCATGCCAAAAGATTTATTTACTGTTGTAATTCAATTAAATCTGTGCTGTTTTTGATTGATTTTTAAGACCATAAGGAAAACAAGGGCAGCCCGGTGGTCGACTGGTTACTGTGTCGGCTTCACAGTGCAGAGGTGCAGGGTTCGATTCCGGCTCCGGCTTCCCTGTGTGGAGTTTGCATGTTCTCCCCGTGCCTACGTGGGTCTTTGTCCGGGTACTCCGGTTACCTGCCACATTCCAAAAACATGCGTGGCAGGTTAATGGAACACTCTAAATTGTCCCTTGGTATGAGTGTGAGCGCAGATGGTTGTTCGTCTATGTGTGCCCTGCGATTGGCTGGCAATCGGTTCATGGTGTCCCCCGCCGACTGCCCAAGACAGCTGGGATAGGCTCCAGCACGCCCTGCGACCCTTGTGAGGATAAATTCACTCGTCAACTTGTGTGTGGGCAGCGTGGAATCGCTTCCCACTCAGTGATGGTGTGAATGCGGGTGTGCATGGTTTTTCGTCTCCACATGTGTCCTGTGACTGACTGTCCACCAGTTCAGGGGTTCACCCTCCTTTTGCTTGAAGTCAGCTGGGATAGGCTTCAGCAACTCCGGCTACTCTCTTCAGGATAAGCACTGTTGACAATGGATGGATAACGATGGCTACATACACACTGCAGGGTGTGTTACTCAACTGTTCGTAAAAATGTACTAAAGCAAAAAAAACACAGATACCTTTGTCTTCCAATACATCACCTCATCAACTCCAAAGCTCAACCAAAATGGTGTGTTCAGACTCTATTGACAAGCAATCGAGAATTACGACTAAAAGTTTGATGTCCTTGCAGCACTGGAAGGTTTTTATAGTTGTATGTCCAGGGTTATACCACTCTTTTTTTGGAGTTTATTATTTCTTCTTCACTGGTCAGTCATCCATCATTTTCTAGACAATTTTTCTTCATTAGGGTCCCAGGTGAGCTAGAACAAGAGACAAAATACAGTCTTGAAGATTATTCTCTACCAGCCAATCACAGGGCACGTGCTGCATTGGCAATCAACTATTGACACTCATACTCACATCAAAGTCTTCAAGTAGGTTAGGTGGAAAGTGAAGACACCGGAGAAAATCCATACTCGCATGGGGAGAACCCACAGACTCCCCAATGCCAACATTCAAACCCCTGAGGCCACCATGCTGTCCCGACACAATTTGATTCAGAATTATGATGCTGTAGCATGATATTCTTTTCCTAAGGAGTGAAGCTGGCTTGTTTTGCTGAACATCTGGCAGTTGTAATTAGCTTTTTGTCCTGAAAAGACAAGAGACTTGTGCGTGTTTATCCACCCATCTACTTAATCAGCAGCTGCCTCTATATAGGTTTGTAGGTTAACCAGCACACACACGTACACTTACAACCCCACACCTCCACCCCCGACACAAACTGCTCATTGCCAACCTATTACGTTCACATGCAAATGCTGTAAAAAAAGAAATAATAATAATAACACTGGGTAGATTCCACAGCACTAACATGAGAAAGAAGCATTGGGATAACCTAAAATCAAGTAGGGCATTACTCCTGGTGCAGGCAGGTGTAGTATTGCTTTCAGCAAGTATATCATCCATAGAGTGAGTAATGTCATAACATTAGAGCAGTCTGATCAGCTGTCAGCCAGTGTACCTCAAAACTACCTCAACCACCACATTTTTCCTGCGCCGAACCAGAGAGAGGTTTTACTGTTACTGCTACGGTGGTCGTCACTCCGTAGTTGTATTTTGGGCTCCGTAAATGGCCACAATAAATGTTTGAGACAGAAATGTCCACAGCATGTCATTTGCTTGGAGCGATTGATCCAGAGTAGCATTCAATCCATCATCTTGTCAAGTAAGTGAACATTAGCTACAAATACGAGAAGTTGAAGCATCTCTATTCTGTTAAGCCTTCATCTTTTGCAATATGTCTATATGCCAGCTTTTCTGTTATATTTCGTTGGTTTTTGAACATCTTTTCCTGCTCTCTTTGCTCATCCGTCGTATGACTTGGGATACTTTCATTTCTGTTGGTAATTGTCATGATGGTCATGTGTGAGCGTCAGCGTTCAGAGAAATGTATTCGTAAAATACTCATTTTTATTTTTATTTGAATCTGTCTGTTTGCAGTCAACATGACGCCAGTAGACCAGCTGGACCAGTAATGAACACAATCCAGCTACAAGGATCTGCACCAATACACAACAATCTGCAGTGAGTAAACACACACTACACATAGTTCTCAGCATGATAATTCCATCACAGTGATGGAAGCTTTTCACATGCAAAACTTTCTCCGAGCTACTGTATTTGGAAAAGAAATGAGCAACAATAGGACAACGAAACACCCTGGGAAGCTGCATTGCAGGACTGTTGCACCTCTCTGTTGACCTCGATGATTTACAAAGAATGCTGAAGGTATAAACGGTAACAAGGTGTTCATCAGTTATCTTGTAAAAATGAAGTAGTTCCGTAGTGTATTGAACTCTGCATTATCAATTAACTAATGTCATGATCAAACGACCCTTGTGAGGATTGACTATCGTTGCTGGCCAGCCCCGGGGGGGCTTGTGTTTTGCGCCTGTAACGGGCAGCATTTTCACAGCCCCGCTTTGTTCAGCGGAAAGGTCGATGCTGTTAGACAGTCTGCGGCTGGATGGATGCAAGGCTTGAGGAGCCGACGATGAGAAGAAAGGAGCGTCAGCGCGAAGCGCCGATGTGCATGTGAAACTGGGAGTTGCGGCTTGGAATTGAAGCTGATTTACATGGGACAGGAGATGAGAGCCAATCTATTTTCGTTAATGGACGCAACAGCTTCTTGTTGCTTTCAAATTTAGCTTGTAGCAGAAATGTGCACATTCTCAGCATGACGTCTTTGATCCACTGGTGAAAAGGACACTTTGATTCGCTCCTTTTTCATCAATAACTGCTTCAAACAACAAAGTGTATGCAGGAAAAGTGTTTAAGATTGCACGATTGTCTTTGTCTTATGTGTTGTGTTGTATTATTTTGTCATTTTATGTTAACTGTTCTTTTGATGGTGGCGCAGGCACCCGCAGCGGCTCCTCTTGTTGTCTTGTCTGTTTGAGAGGGAAGACATTTCATCTGTGCTGTATCTTGCACATACTGCACATTTGACAATAAAGTTGTACTTGACTTGACTTGACAAGCGGATCAGAAAATGGATGGATGGATGATGTCATGATGTACATCAGGGGTATCCTAGTCCTGTCCTCGAGAGCCCCTATCCATCCTCTTTTATATGTTTCCCTCCTCCAACACACCTAATACAAATGACCAGGATCCTTATCAGGTTCTGCAAAGCTTTCTGATGAACTGATTATTTCAATCTTATGTGTTGGAGTAGGGAAAGATGTGGAAAACAGACTTGATGGTTGCTCTCGAGGACCAGACTTGGACACTCCTGCTGTACATTGATACATACTGTAGTTCACTGGCAAACCGAATGAGACTTATTTCTGTTGCGTTTGCTTCTGGTTCCACAGTATGACAGACTTGAATGTGAGTGTAATGAAGGCCTTGGTTTTGGGGACATTTCCATGTGGTAGCCCAGCACTACCACAAGCATCACCAAGAATTCAAGTTAGCACAGATGATAGAACACTGGTATTTATTATGAACATGCCCCAAAAAAAAGATTGAACCTGCAGACAAGAGTGAGCTGTGGGGGTGCCCAAGACTTATAATCAAGACTTGGATTCATGTCTCTCGTCGACTGTGAAAACGTGATCACAAAAGAGGAATCTTGCAACTTTATATGATGCTGCCAAACCATTTGAAAAATGTGATGGCTTTTGAAAAACATCACCCAAGATGAGGACACGCGACACCTCGACATCATTGCTTTTTGTCTCCTCCAGGAGCTGTGATTCGATGATGAAAGGGAAAGTGAACACTGCTACTGAGAAGATCAATCACACTAAAAGTACAAACATGGTGTCAGAAGTGTCTCAAGAAGTCCAACCTTGTGCACGGGTAAGAATTAACACATTCATACACAGTGCAAACAAAGTACATACCCCAAAAATAAATATATGATTGTTCTCAAAATATTGAGGCCCTTTTTACATCATACCTGATTGTGAATGGGCAGAATGGTGAACTAGTGGTTAGCACATCTAACTCACACTTCTGAGGTTTGAGATTTGAATCTTGGCTTCAGGCTTCCTGTCCAGAGCTGGCGTGCTCTCGACATTCTGCCCCTGTCTCAAAGCACTTTGTTTTGCTCCTACATTTAACAAAAAAAATAAAAAATAATAATAATACCGTATTGGCCCGAATATAAGACGGCCCTGATTATAAGACGACACCCTCTTTTTCAAGACTCAAGTTTGAAAAAAAGACTTTTTAAACACCAAATTAATTTTTATACAGAAAATAATTACAGTACATCTGAAACAAATGATTATAACAATATATTTGAGAGAAAAAGCATGTTATTTTGCCTCATTCAAATCTTAACATCTAAAAATTTAAATCTGTAAACTAAAGTGCAATCACATTTGTAAATGAATGGCTGGTTTTTGAAATATAAATTACATCATAACTTCTCCTCAGCTCCTCAGGGGGCAGATCTTCGACCCACTTTTCTCCAGATTGCGCTACGTTTCTCCATTTTCTGTTATCTCTTCTATTATTTTCTTCTATTTTCTTTCTTACCGCTATTTTTTTATTTTTCTTCTTCGTGCTACCGCTGTTTTTATTTTTATTCTTCGTATATAGTCATTTCTTTAATGTAGGTACCTTAAGTATTTACAGCTTATGTGTTCATTTGTATGTTTTTTATTCGAGTTTACCAATTCATGTGGCTTGTGCATGGGCAGTGATGTTGTAGTGGCTGAAAGCAAAGCATGCAATACAGTCAGAAATGTGTTTGTTTACCGGCTTGTGTGATTTGTTAGAGGTGACATACAGTGGTGGGAATAAGTCAAAAATGTGCAATTTCAAGCAAGTCTCAAGTCACCGTGGAAAAAAACAAATCAAGGAAGTCAAGCTGCCACCAAAAATTAAAGTCCAGTCATGACTTGATTCAAGCATGTCGGAAGTCCAGTCATAAAATATTGCTGAGACAAAACATATGTTGGACTATCGTCATTTTTTTTCACTGATCATACTATTTACCATATTGGCCCGAATATAAGACAGCCCTGATTATAAGACGACCCCCTCTTTTTCAAAACTTAAGTTTGAAAAAAGACTTTGAACACCAAATTAATTTTTATACAGAAAATAATTACAGTACATCTGAAACAAATAATTATAACAATAAATTTGAGAGAAAAAGCATGTTATTTTGCCTCATTCGATCCTGAATATCTGAACATTAAAATATGTAAACTAAAGTGCAATCACATTCATAAATGAATGGCTTCTGGTTTTTGAAATGTAAATGACATCGTAACTTCTCCTCAGCTGCCGGTTAACCTGGCCAATCTTCGACCCACTTTTCTCCAGATTGTCGTTACATTTCTCCATTTTCTGTTATTTCTTCTCTTTTCTTTCTTACCGCTATTTTTATTTTTCTTCTTCGTGCTACCACTATTTTTATTTTTATTCTTTGTGACAGGGGTTCACTTTGGCCTGGGGAGTCAAGTTCAGCATTCGCTTCAATGATATCTGGCGCCATCTAGCGTCGTGAATGGGTAAAATGTCTAGACCCCGAATATAAGACGACCCACACTTTTTCAGTCTTATTTCAATGCAAAAAACACCGTCTTATATTCGGGCCAATACGGTACATGAAATGATGCCTGTGCCCTGCCATTGACTCACGACAAGTCGTGGGTGTTTCCTGGGTGTCACTTGAAGTCAGTTGAGATTGGCTCAACCTCACCCGCAACTCAAATTAGGGACAACATCAGGGAAAGTGGATGGATGGAATTAGTCGTGAATTTGCATTGTCACCCAACATCCTCCAGGTGGTCCTGCATTGCGAAACTGTATAACACATGTGGCATTTAGTCTTTTCAATTCTTCTCCTGACTTGCAGACGTCCCGAACACCAAGAAAGACAGCTACATTTGGGAAGCGCTCCAACTCGATGCGCAGGAATCCTAAAGCAGAAGTCTGCAAAGCAGGATGGCTCTACAAGCAGGTATGTTTTCCAATCACTTGTCAGTATTTCATTCACTGGTTATGTTTTGCGCAGCGGCACGGTGAGCGACTGGTTAGCACGTCGGCCTCACAGTGTAGAGGTGCAGTGTTCGATTCCGGCTTCGCCCTTCATTTGTGGAGTTTGCATGTTCTCCGCGTGTCTGTGTGGGTTTTCTCCAATTGCCCACGTCACATGCATGGCTGACTACATCATCCACAAAGGGAGATCTTCCAGTTTATGTGTATAAACACACTTTGCGCACACCAATCTCATACACAGACCACAGCGTGTCAGTTTCTGATCCCGCAATGTCAAGCACTGTGTGCGCCTTTGACTGCTCAGATTTTAAAGGGAATGACGGGAGCTGGTTTGATTGGCCGAGTCGGCTCTGTTCCGTCCCACAATGGCACACGATGATGCAAACGCCCTCTTCCACCTGTGCAAATCTAGGAAAATATCAAAATAAAGAAACCTCCACGAAATGTCAACGTTTAGACTGAGCTTTGCGCTAAACTTGCGCAGGGCCCGAAAAAAGAGCCCTCTGTTTCACATACTTGCAGTTAGAAATGCCCACTAAAAATGCCGTTTAAACTGAAATAGTTTCACCAATCCGTCACTGTCCTTCCCTGCAGAGAATCTGTCATTGGTTTTACTTTGATTATACTTAGAGTCCCAACCACAGTATGTGCCTCAAACAGATTTTACAGAATATTGGTGCTACAATGTCAACGTTTGTAGAATAATTTGATCTGATGTGATAATAATCATTGCCTGCATGTCCCCACCAGGCCAGTAGCGGAGTGAAGCAGTGGAACAAGAGGTGGTTTGTCCTCTCTGACAGATGTCTATTCTACTATAAAGGTGTGTGCCTCTGATTTGTAAAGTTTGAAATTCATTTTTAATGGCATTAAAATTGATCTATGGTGAATTAAGTTTCGCCAGCAGGAGAGCAAACAGCAAGTCATCTTTGTTCACCTGTGATAACCAAAACATGCAGGCGTGAATACGTTTTCATTCCAAACGCCATATTAATCATTAAACATGAACCACAGCAGCGACAATTCCATTCATTGTTTAAGTGCAATGATTCTTTAAAACTTAGCGCTCGATAAATGATCAACTGAAGTTTGTTGATTGCTTCAACTGGGTTACCTGTCTCATCTAAATTTGTGCTGCTGTAAAGTAACTTATAATAAAACGTGAATGCTACATCGTGTTTGGAAAGTCACTGTGCACTTACTTGTATTAACCGACATGTTTCTATATAGAATACAGACAGTGCATTCATTTATACTGGAAAATAGAAATATACAAATTGAAGTTTCTGACCACCCTGGTTCTTATAAGTTGAGTCTTTTGTCCTTTTTGTCCTTGTTTTCTCTCTCTCTCTCTCTCTCTCTCTCTCTCTCTCTCTCTCTCTCTCTCTCTCGCCAGGTCAAGATGAGTTTGACTGTGGTCCATAATCTTACACACACACAGATGGGAACTTTACCCTATTTTACCCTTTGTCCTCTGTCCCTGTTCATCTTCAGTCCGCCTCCCGCCCTCCCCCGAAAAAGGGTCCATGTATGACACCGTGGGAGAGAGGCATGGGAGGGAGGGGGGCAATTAATACCCTAAAGACAAGACAGCACTTACTTTGCTCCATACATCCGCATAGTACTGCTGATCCCATCTTGAATGGCAAATTTTGCGACAACCGCAAGCAAGTATCAGAGACAACATTTACATTCCATATACAAAGACACCTTCTTGGGTCGTACTGGATGTGGCAAAGTGAAGCAAATTGTGAATACCTATGCTTCCTCCTTGGAGATGTATCATCAAATAAAATACGGAATCATTGCATTTGATTGTATGATGTTATCCTAGCTCAGTTTTCCGATATTATTTGCCGAATTCATATCTAATATTAAAGCCACATACAACATGGCGAATTGGCTGACATATAGCCCGGTTCAACAATTGTCTGCTGCAGAATTAAATCGAAAAAGGAAAAGAATATTTATTTTCATTGTAGAATTTCAAAGACTTTATGGCTCCCATTACATCTTGTCTTAAACGGTCGTAATGCCTCTTTATTTGCCGAAACGAATGTAATATGTCTTTTCTCACTTGTCGTACATTGATGCAACTTGACTAAACCCGTAATGTAGGAATTTTAACGTCATCTAATGTGCCAAAACTGCAATCGATGGTCACCCAAATTTATTTTGATGTCTTGACTGATACCGTCACAGGTGTTACACTTACCGTAATTAAGGATTGCAATGTTTCTGTCACCGTTTTAATTTCTTTAGATGTTTCGTATGTTTAAAAAAAAATTTGGGGCCCCCTTAGTGGTCAACTTCATGTCAATGATTCCCTTGAAAATAAATGTTCTCCCGGCATACATATAGAGGGTGTTTAGTGTTTGTGAATGTACATGTGTCAAATTGTGTGACTGCATCCGCTCATGAGGGCCGTTGCTCACATGCAGAAAAATGGGTCAGTAAGCTAACTTGGCTCTGCTCCGCAAGACGGAAGAGTGAGGCAAGATTCATAACTTTTCTTACAATGTAAACTCAATAATAAAATGCAAATCACACAAAATTAAGAATTTAGTCGTTGTCTAAGATCGGTTTAAAAACCATCCGTATCATTAAAATTCTTTTTATATTTGGTAAATGAGAAACTACACAAATTGTGCTGTAATTTAAAAATGTATTTGGTGATTAGGGATATGGATGACAAAAAAACATGTTGTTGGTAAATGAACTAAAACTTCCTGATATTTTACCGGAGAAAATTGTATAAATCTGTTTAATTGAATGCAAAATACCATTCGATGCTATTATGAATGATCTCAACTTATCATATAAACCAGTGGCATTAAGTCTCTCTCTCTCTCTCTCTCTCTCTCTCTCTCTCTCTCTCTCTCTCTGCAGGGAACTATGGGTAATTTGAATCTTAGTAGTGTGATGTCCGAATGTTTGCTGCTCTTCTTGCATGATGCTAACTGATCCAATACACGTTGAAGAGTAGAATGTAGTAGAATTGTTTTACTTTCAACAATGTTTTTTTTTATTTTTTTTTATTTAATAAGGGTAACTATTAACTCCCTTTAATTCTTTCACTTCTGATTTTTATCAACGGAGCTAATTTGATTAGGTTTCATATGAAGGTAGTGTGATAATTTAACTAAGTTGTGATGGCAACTCTGTTCAAGTTTATTTGTACTACTTACTTTTTTACTTTTGTCCACCTCCTGTGGGGATTCTCTCTTCATTCTGACCACGTCTCTTTGTTCCCTTCCTTTCCTCTGCGTGGCCCAGCTGTATTTTGAAAAAGAGGGCCTGGTGAGAGGGAGCAATGGAAGCAGTAATGTGGCCAGTGCAATTTAGCAGTGTGATAGCTATGCCAGCAAAGAGCAAAGCTCAAAGAATGGGCAGAAGAAAAGCACTTTTGTGGTCGATGCTGTGATTTATAAAGCTCCCTCTGCCTCTCGTCTAAAGCACAGGGCTGCGGTTGGCGCCTCTGTGTGTGTTTACACATCTACTTAGCCAACAGTGACATTTCATTCCATTTGAGCCGTGCTCACATTAGGTGCCGTTAACAAATTGGTCTCTAGGAGTTGAGTATCCCAATTCGACAAATCATTCCATTGCATCTGTACACACACTGTAGCTCTGTCTTATGATAGTTATGCAAAGAAAATCGTTAAGGATTGACAAGCACACAAATTTGTGGGGATGTTGTGCGGGGATTACTCAGATTGCAATTTTATACCAATATTCCAAATGTTGTGCACTAAATTATCTTGTATGCTCACGCAGTTGAACAGCCCTGAGATCATTCATAAAATTGCCCGAAGACTGCATTAATGATTGTCCATCTATCACCAGTCTGTCAAAAAACACGTCATGCTTCGTTCATCTCTTTTTAAATATGTCTTCAGTTGTCATTTGCCAGAAAATCAGGCAATCAGCGATAGACTGATGGACCTTCCGTCAGTGGTGACGAAACATCCATCTCTGGATGATATATCGCAGTAAAGTCCATGATGTTTAAAAAAATGTTGACATAGGCGTTAAAGTTTTTCCCAACACCTCTTATTTTTCCTGTGCTATATGCTGTACCACTGTGCATAGTGTTTTAGAGCTACATTTCAGAGAACGAGCCCTATTTTTATTCTCAGTGTAAGTTTCGTGCAAAGAGTTGTCTGACCGTGCGCATGGGTGGAGGTTTCTTTGTGATGATGCCCCCATGTTTACTCTGAGTGCAGTTATCAAATTGTCAGTAGAGTGCAGTTACTCAGTTGTCACAAGAGTCGGGGTTGAGGCAACTGCATGCGCTAAACACGGTAGACTAGACTAGCACTGGAACGAAAATTAATTCCACTGAGCACATGGGCACCAGTTCACCAAAATAGGGCCCGATGTATTTCAAGATGCAAAATCAGCCAGTGAAATTTATATCAGCTTTGATTAATCTCATTACACTTGCTAAATGTTTGTAAATGCATACAACCCTCCCAAAACGTGCAAAATTAACTGCACTCAGTGTTTGGCAAAGATAGTCCTTAGTGCCCTGCAATTGGTTGGCAATCAGTTATGGGTGCACCCCGCCTACTGCTCAAACACAGCGGGGATTGGCTCCAGCGCGCCCATGACCCTCGTGAGGATAAGCGGTTTGGATAATGGATGGATCAATATTTGCATTACGGAGGAGTGAGAGATACTACTGTATATATTTTAATATAATTATCTGTCATGCATTCAGTCGAACTTGTATGATTTTAGATGTTATCATGTGCCCATTTGCATGTTCATTCCCTTCAAAAAAAAAAAATCTTGATTCAATAAACAGTCGGATTCATAACCAACGTGTTATTTCAATTATTAAATCAACTCAACAACATTAGGTGACAATAAATTGCAATTCCCTGTCGTGAACGCTAGGTGAGTTGCTTTTGAAAGCTAATATGCTAAAGACAGGAATCAAGAAAACAAAAAAGCTCTGTATCAAAGTCAGGTATCATTTGCCACAACATATAATTCTCAAGATAGCATGTACGCCCTCTGTGGCCATAAGCATGACATGAAAGCAAAAACAAAACAAAACAAAAAAACCCACAACAAAAAAATGGATACTGCTTAGAGACGCACACTTTTGTGCCTTTGATCTTGCCTATGCACTTCCTGAAGAAAAGTCCAGTATTTTGGAACTGATACCCGTTTGAGTTGAATAAAACAATTGCTCACCTGTCTCCGACAAGCATTTTCTTTTGTTCTTTAATTTAAGTTTGAATGTTTGACCACAGTGGCGCTGCTTCTAAGCAGGACAAAAAAAAAAAAAAAAAAATTGGCCACATTTTTGTTTTTTTTTTTTAGTGTGTGTACTGTACTGTATTGTATTGTATTTCCTTTATGGTTATAGTACAGTTATACTAAAATGATGTAAATCAGCCATTTTTATTTTTTCCTTCAGAAAACCCAGGTCACAACTTGTTGTATAACACCTTTCTACCATCAACAATATTTGCTTTACACCTACCTTTAACATATATGACCTTATTCACTGATTCACAAAATAATGACATATTCATTTCCAAGTTTTCCATTTTTGCCATGTTTAGGATGGGCCTTGTCGAGATGCTCCTTCTCCTTTTATCGACTTCATTCATTCTCCTTGCATTTTGTTGAAATTATTTTGTAAATAAGTATCAGCCTCGGTTTTATTAGGCATGCCCTTCCTGACTCCAACCCATATTTCTGGGCTTGGGACCAGCACAGAATTGGACTGGCTTGCGCCCGTGTCCTGGTAAAAGGCCCATTCACACTTTGATGACACAGTATCAGGAATGATCAATATTTGGTTGGAGGACCATTTTAAAAAGTGGACTTTTCATGAAAAAAAGGAATCAAACTACCAAATTATAATTACCACTTGGCAATGTAACCCCTGATGGTTGAATCGGTAAATTTCATAAAATCTATTTATTTTTATATTGCATCTCTTTACAGTTGTTCCTGAACGATGCATTTAAGGTTTTCTACTCATCAATGTTTTTAAAAAAAATACTTGAGTGCACGGGTTTGCTTTATAACATAGAGGTCAATAATCGATGTTTTTGCGGCAGGGGCAAGGAAGAAAGAGGCAAGAGGTGCGTCTGCAAATATCACGCATGCACTCACGTGTACACGACGCTGAATCAGTGCGGACGAGCAGCAGGTACAGCTGGCTGCCGCCCGAAATTCCTGCTGCACTGACTCACATGGGCTGATCACTATCTTGCATGCGCGTGCGCACAAAACACACCCACCCAACGACCATGCGCGCACACGGAGAGGAGGGATCCGTGTATTGTATGATTGCACAAACCCTCCCCCTCCTTTTAATCTCTCGCTCTCTCTCTCTCTCTCTCTCTCTCTCTCTCTCTTCCTCAATACACACACAACGCAAGCACACCCCAGTCAGGAGCAGGACGATTGGCCATGCAGAGATAAACATTCACGGAATAAAAGGTAGGAGAAAAAGGAAAACAAATCTATCTACTTGCACTTGCGGAGGTTTTAAGAAATCATGCTGACATCCATTATTCATTCAACATGAGTGGTTTTCTTCTACGGTGGTCCTATTTTTGACTACACGATTCTGATGTGTGGGAGCCATTATAAAGTGCTTATCACATTTTTGAACGGACCATAATGGATACCTATTCTAGGAAACTGTCACCACGGGTAAAAGTGTATGTTCCAGAAGCAGCGCCAGTCCATTTGCAGCGTCTTGTCTTGATTTTTCAAAAAAAAAAAAAAAAAAACTCAATGATTTTTTTTTCTGCAGAATTCCCGTGTATTTCTGATCCTGTTCCTTTAGCTCGAATTGAGACGTGTACGCACTATCGTTTTTTTCTTCTTCACAGATGAGAAGGAGGACACTGTGCTAGGGAGTTTGCCTCTGCTCAGTTTCAGGATTGGAGGAGTGCAGCCTTCGGATAACATCACCCGCAAGTTTGCCTTTAAGGTCAGTGACATCCAAGGGAAGGGACGGATGGTGCCAAGAGGTTCATGTTTACCGTTTCATGTCAGGAACGTAACTGAGAAAAGACATAATTATTTTCTGCAATGCTCAATAATAATGAAACAGTTCAGAAAATATACTTTGGATCATTGTTTTTCTACAGCTGTGTTATACTGCATGTGGAAATATGAACTGACACATACTGTCTTTCCCACAGTATGTGATAAAATTGTTAAAAAAAAACCCCAACAACAACAACAAAACAATCTAAGTGCAAATTGCGCAAGCAGCATTTAGTGATGTCTAAGTGTGTTCTTTGGTTGCATTGCTGTGGTTGAACAAAGGGTGATTTGGACCTGATTGGCGAATACTGAAGCTGCTGAGTTCATAGTTGGGCCTCATATGGTGTAATTTATGGCTAAAAATACCCGCTTGGGTACCACCTCTTCTAATGAAGCATTGCTGTCATCGGAGTACAGGAGTTTCATTGTGAAGCATGCAATTATTTTGCTGTTGTTTTGGTTTTTTTTTTGGGGGGGGGGCTACCAGTAGGGTCAGAATTATAGTGTTTACTATATTATGTTGTGCAACTTCATTCTTCACAGACATCTGGTCTTGGTCCGCCATACTCGTCCTCGGCTCAAATGAAATCTCGTAATACTTTATTTGCACTCTGCACATGCTTTGTGTGGTGGCAAGCAGGTTCATCAAGCTATTAACCCGGACTGGTTAGGTGTGTATGGGAATAGTTAATGAGTTTTAAATCAACTGTTAAGCATTACAGTCCAAATGATACCCATTCAAACTTCTGCCGTTAGCCTCTCTGCAACGCCGTCACGCCTGGCAAAAAAATGAAAGCCGGGTGTTACAGAGAGAAAGTCTCCTCAACTAGTTGCCTTCAGCTTTAAGATGCTGTTGATCACTGCCGGTGTGGAGGATTTTATAAATAGGCACAATAACTTAGATTCTCTCTCTCTCTCTCTCTCTCTCTCTCTCTCTCTCTCTCTCTCCCTCTCTTTCTCCTTTATATATATATCTCCCTAGCTATACATCTATGGTTATATATCCTGTGTATATTTATACCCGCATGTGTATCTGGGTTCATCGACTGTTTCGACCTATTTTTAATTTTCTTCTGTTTTTAAGTTCTGTTTGCTAAGGCAAATACCCGTGTGTCTACTTGACACATTTGGCGAATAAAAGCTTTCTGATATATTATTGGATTGGATTGGATACAACTTTATTGTCAAATGTGCTGTATGTGTACCATTATTAATATCGCATTGGTCTGATCAGTGACAATCAGTTTTCTATTCTTCGTTCTCAGAGTTCTTTGATGATATTTAAATGATATCTTACAGAAGGTGGCCAAGTTCAAGGCTGAAATATGTTCCTTCTTGCAGCTCTTAGCTTCCTTTTAAGCAATTCTTTTCGCCAATGATCAAGACTTCTACCTATTTTTAACGAGAACTTTTCTGAAAATATTGCAATTTAGATCGCTGAGTAGGTTACTTAAAAGTCTTGGTGATTTTTACATATCGCTTTAAAATAAACTACACCCATAACCATAGACCCATACTGAGATGAGATTATGCCAAAATGTTGAAAAGCATGTCAGTGGCGTATCCAACATGTTTGTGGTGTGTGTTTTTGCAGGGCTTGCACATTCTCACGTGTTGTTAGGTCACATTATGGCCTTCCCATATAGAAGTCACACATTAGACGGTATTGGGGAAGTCACGAATGCATCGATCTCAAGAAGCAGCACTACAAAGTCACCCAATGACATGCTACCGAAGTCTGAATCTCTGAGTAAATCTTGACATAATTAGGAATGTGAGTCTTGTTTCCATATCTGCATCCGTGTGAAACACAAAGCGATACATTTTGCCAGCCCTCTATATTTGTTGCAATCAGTGTTTGTCATTCTGAGACCTTTCAGAACATTTTGTTCTTTTTGTTGACTCTTACATTGCATGTTCAGCATGGGAGCAAAGTCCAGCACATGTAGCCATTGCACACACACATATACACACACACAAACACATTCATACACACCCCCTTACACCTGCAGCTGGGTCTCCATGGCAAATACACTTGGCTTGGACTGCCTGCCATGGAGTTCATTTCATCGATGTTACTGATTGGACACTTCGTACTGTTTACTGTCTACTGTCACTGTGTAAACTAGTTAATATTAACAGAGATCAATTGCATTTGATGCACTTTCAAACATTTTCAAATATGAAAGCATACACCACTGAGTAAGATATAAATGTATCAAAGACTAAAATCTCGTGAAGTGTTTTAAATGAACCTTGAGAAAGGTAAACCTAGAAATAATATCATAAGATATTTAAAGATGTGGAAGTCCGTTTAAAGCTGAACCAAAGGGAGTGTGGACAGTTGATCACAGAAAGCGTTGTCTAATTTCAAACAAACAGAGTAGAATGAATCATCAGTATTCCTTGGGCTTAAAGGGAACCATGAATATCAAAAACAGGCATAGTGAGCACATTAGTGTGGCATGGTGCACTGCATGTCATCGTTTTGCAACCGGTAAAAATACAAATTACTGAGCTCAGTGGGTGATCTCGAGCCTATTTTAGCCAACTTTGGGTGAGAGGGGGAGTACACCCTGAATTGGTTGTCAGCCAATTGCAGGACACAAATCGACAAATAACCATTCACACACTCACATCCAGACCTATGGACGACAGTCGTTATATTAAATCCCCTATCCCACTGAGCTGTGAATATTGTGAAGGTGTTTGTGAAGGTAGCAAATGTGTTCCCGTCGAAAGACGTTCCGGTGTACTTTTCTTGTTACAATTGGTTCATGAAGCAAATGTGAAGCATCACGAAGCTAGTCGCCACTGTTGGCTCCTCTAACATGGTGCCTTAGAAGAAGCAGAGCTTTACGGAATCTTAAGTGCTTGCAGAAAGAGCACAGAAATAAGTGGATAGGCAGGAGGCGGTGTGCATGTGAGTTTGCGAATGGTGATTTCCATATTTTAGTCATCACTGTTCCCTGCGGCTTCCGAGATAAATGTTGGTTCACTGGCATCTGGCCAAAGCTACTTGCTTTTTATGATAATGAGTGACACCAATTTTGCTGCAAATAATGGGGTTTAACTGATTGATTGCTGATTGCTCAACAGAAACGTTCAGACTGGAAATGGTTTACCTTATAAAGCGGAAACGAGAAGATTAGAACTGAGAAAAGTTACCTTTCCTTCAAGTCATCAATAATTCTGAAATCATCGTATTATGTTGCAATTAATCCATCCACAATAAATAATAAGTAATACTTCCTCAACCCTGCAACACTGGAAATGTCATTGATTTTTGCATCAATAATGACACAATTTGATTTGAAATGTGCAGCGCTGTGGAAGAGTGGTTAGCGCTGTTGCCTCCTAGCAATAACATTCTGGTTTTGACTGTGTCTCCTGCAGTATGTGGAGTTTGTTCTCTCTCTGTGCTTGCATTCGTACTATCCATGTTTTCTAGCTTACTCCTGCAATCCAAAATGTATGTTCAATTCCTTGAAAACTGCCTTTGTGTGCGTGTGAAGCAAATAGTGGGCTGTCTGTATGCATCAACACTGTGTTTGACTGATGATCAGTCCAGGGTGTTTTCCACCTGTCACTCATAGTCATCTTAAATATGCTCGCGGAAAGCCCTGAACAGTTTCAGCATTATAGGATGGATGGAATGAACGATTAGTAATTGAACATTACTTTTAACCCACGTAGTGTAGACCACTGCTCCGCTTTACTGTGTTCTTATTTCCAGGTGACTGTCTATAAAAGTCACTCTTTGAACAGTCATATTTCATACATCTGCTACATTCCTGTTGGCCAGCATGTATTTTTTATTTTGACCTCCATTATTCCGTCTCTTGTACAGTAAGGCAAGGCAAGGCAGCTTTATTTATATATTTCAGCTAGAAGGTAACTTCCCATCATTTAAAGTACTGTACAACATTTGAAAGCAACAAGATTTTAGAGAGCTGATTTTAAAAATGCTTTGAAAGACCTGAATCATAGCTATAGGAAAACAGCATAGTTTTTAACCTGGATTTAAAAGCATTTACACTTGTGGGTGACTTTACTTCTGTTGGTACCTTATTTCATTTGCAAGCAGCAGAACTGCTAACTGCTGCTTCACCGTATTTTCTTTGGACTCCGGGCTCCAATAATTGACCTGAGTCTGCAGACCTCAGAGCCCAACAGGTTCTATATTCCATTTCCATTTCTTCAATGTAATCATGAACGCAACCATTCAGCGATTTATAGACCACTAGCAGAATTTTAAAATCTATTGTACAGTTTACTGGAAGCCAGTGTAAAGCCTTTACGACTGGAGAAACATATTCTTGTCTCTTTGTTCTGGTAAGAACCCAAGCTGCAGCGTTCTGAATGAGCTGCAGCTGCTTAATGCTCTTTTGAGGGATTCCAATCAGAATCATAACAAGTCTACTGGAGATAAAAAGCATAGACATATTTCTCCTGGTTTGTTTGAAGCGTGCAACCCTTCAATCTGGATGTTTTTCAGCTGGTCAAAGTCTGTTTCAGTGATTGATTTGACATGACTGCTGAAAGATCCAAATCAATTAGCACCCCAAGATTTTTGACTTGGTTTTGAGGACCTCATGTGTGCTGGTGTTTCCACCTTGCATATCTCAGTAAGGTAGAAGAGAGTGTGACTCCTTAAGATCACAGTCAATTTTAATTTGTTGTTGACAGGCTTTGAGTGTAACTTCTCTCAACAGGTATTCGATACAATATCCTGGCTACCATTCAGTCGTGCCACATACCCATCAATGATTGCGTAATGATTGTTTGATAGTGTTGTGTTGCTTGTTGAGTTAGAGCTTACTATTTACAATGTGAATCGTGAAGGTTTGTGACAGAGCAATTGTGTTTTAAAACTTAATTCAACATGCTACATTTTCTGATTTTATTCTACTCAGTCTTTGTGCTTTTGGTTGATTTCTC